AGTTTGTGATGGCATTCGTGTTGTTTTTGTTATAATTATTTTTATTTTCTTTTTGTTGTCAAAAACAACAAACAAGATAAAACTGACACCAAAACATTGAGTAATAGTGTGTGGTGGTGGGTGCAGGCCCCCGTTTGTTTATCAACCACCTAGCCGAGATCAAACAGTAAGTCGTATGGTGTCGTGTAAACAAGAGTTCGTACAATGTGAGAAATGGAATTTACTACCTTTGTAAATATCAGAGAGCGAGAGAGAGTTTAATTGAGGGGGAGGACAAGAACATTCAAAGATTACTTAAAGAGGCAATGTAATAAATGTGTGTGTGCCATTGCAATGCATTAAATAAATAGTGAAGAGCTAGTGAGAGTGGGAAGTTATGGGAGATCAATAATCAATAAATGGAAATCAATGCGGAAAGGAATGTGTGAGAGAGAGTGAGGGAGCATTGTAAAGTACAAAGGCAGAGATTGAATACAAGTTTTATTTGTTTCTGATAATGAGGCAGGAAAAAATCACCTCAGTTATAGAAAGGGGAGATTGTTTACTAAAAATAATATCAATCGTAAGTGGGGGAGCTGTGTGAAGGAGAGAGAGTCTTGTAAATAACAAGGTTTGCCAATTGGAATTTCTCTCCTTCATAGATTGGGTATTCTAAATGAGCAGCATGTACTGTCAATGTTTTGTGTTGTTATTTGAGCATAGAAAACTCTATTAATTTTAGATCATATCATATAGAAAGGGTAGATTGTTTACTATAAATAATATCAATCGAAAGTGTGGGAGCTATGTGAGAGAGGGGGAAAAAAGCATGTAAATAAAAAGGTTTGCCAATTGGAATTTCTCTCATTCACAGAGTGGTTATTCGAAATGAGCAGCATGTACTGCCAATGCTTTGTGTTGTTATTTGAGCATAGAAAACTCTATTAATTTTAGATCATATCGTATTTGTTGTGGCGAGGAATCTCTCCTACCAGTTGAATTGTTATTATTTTTGGTTTCTTGTTGTTGTTTTTTTTTGAATAGTTGTTTTAAAAGATCGCTTGATTACGAATGCACCTTTGTTGAACATCTGTTTTCTTGCCTGTCATGCTGATTACTACCGCTTCTTTTTAAAATTGTGTTTTTTTTTTTTTTTTTTGCTGAATTGTTAATGAGATTTGTTGCTGGAAGCCATGAATGACGTAGCTAAGGTTTGAATTAAAAACCAGCATTCTATTCATGTGTATGCATATAGGTGGGAATAACCACAACAATTCAGGTAGAATGTGATAAGCTACCATCATAAATGGGTAAGAAAAGTTTAAATGGGTACAGCTGGAAAAAATTGGAGGGGAAACCATTTTATAACCTTCGTCACTAGATGGAGGTATATTCAATTCGTTTGCAATTCTGTTTGCAATGCCTTAACCCATTTCGTCCTCTGTTCGATTTTTTGAGCAGTAAAAACACCCCATTTCAAAAAAAATATATATTTAAAAAAAAATCTATTTCTGAAATCCAATTATATGGATACTTTTTAAATTAATTTAAAATAAGACGGAAAAAGTAATGATGAGAGCTTATTGTCAATATATGTAACCATTACACTAAATATAAACAGCATGGCTTACATGCACTAGCGTGACTTTATATATGTGTAAATTTGACTGTTCGAAATTTCGAACACTAGATTCTGAAAAAACGAAAATTCGGAAAAATCTTTTGAGTAAATTTTTGACATCAATTTACACTAAAAAAAGTAGATTTTTTCAAAAAGAAAAATAAAAATAAATGTCTGAACGAAATGGTTTGCAATAAATATGTATTCATGATAAGCATAAAATTCTGGAATTTAAATTTAAAGTCCGACCAACCTATTGGAATTTATGTAGGGAGGGTACAATATTTTAGATAGAATTTTGAAATTCAGAAAAAAACGTATATGATCGGAGGTTTTGGGATTGAATTGTGGCATTCAACAACACACTATATGGAGGGTATATTAAGTATGGAGAGTATATGACGACGTGTCCGTCCGTCCGTCCGCCTGTAGCAATCACGCTAAAGTCAAAACAAATTAAGACAGGAAGCTAAAATTTTGCACAGATCAGTCTTTTGTGTGCATGCGGGCCAAGTTCGAAGATGAGTTTTATTTGCCTACGATATCATATAGCCTTTATATACCCCCGGCATTCGGTATTTTGATGATTGTAGCCAAATTGTTCAATACAATTGTCTGAAAATCCACACGAGGAGTTTCTTCTGAGTACTTTATCCCCGGGAATACAGGGTGATATGAAAAAAACTGCAATCAATTTCAGACTGCTGGCACTTCTAAGCGACTCGTCCGACAGCTGTTAATATTATTCCAGTGACAGCTCATTATATTGTCCAGCAGTCCAGCATTTAAATGTGAATAACTCTTCTGTGTCTCGTACCATAGCTCGTTATCGTAATACTGGTAGCGTAGCCCTACGTTAAGGAAGTGGACGGAAAAAGAAAACAGCAACGTCAGCAGAAAGTGTTCGAAAAGTAAAAAAGCGAAACCCGCCTCGTAGTGGCCGAAAAATGGCTCGTGAACTGAACATATCGCAATATTTCATTCGGCAAATATTAAAAAAATGAGCTCGGGGTAAAGCAATTGAAATTCAAAAAATTGCAAGAATTTACACGGCAACAGAAAGAAAATAAACTCAAAAGAGGTAAAGACTTGCTTCGCTTGGCCGAAAATGGTGAACTGTCGCATTTGGTCTTCTCCGATGAGAAAACATTCGTTGCCCAGCAGTTTGTTAACAAACAAAATGATCGTGTTTACCTTCGGTTGGCCACCAGAACTCAAGCGCCGGTCATGGTGATGGTGTGGTCCGCCATAACAGCCAATGGTCGCTCTCCGCTCGTATTAATCGACCGTGGCTTCAGAATAAATGAATAAATCTCGAAAATATTTTGGAGGGTGTATTAAAGCTTTGGGCACACAAACATTTTGTTCGCAGACATTGGACATTCCAACAGGACTCAGCACCATCGCACTCAGCACGCGTCACCCAAGAATGGTTACAAAATGAAGTTCCTTGCTTCATTTCCAGCCGTTGTGCGGCCACCAAAATCTCCGGGTACCAATACGTTGGACTATTGGACGGTGTCTGGAGTATTTTAGAAAGCATGGTTGCCACTAAAAATTACCTAAGAGTCGATCACCTCAACAAGCAAGCGCTTCGCCGGGAATGGGTCAAAATATCTCAGAGCAACATTCGGGCAGCATGTGACGGTTTCATTGGCCGTTTGAAGGCCACAATTCGTGCCAAAAGGTGACCAATTCGAAAAAATCTAAACTTATTCTAAATTTTGATGCTATTTCTAACAGTTGTTGCTTTCATTCAATAAAATTTAAAACTAAATGTAAAAACCAGTAAAGAAAGTCTTAAAGTCGTCGGGGCCGTCTTTATGATACCCTACACCACTTTGCTAATTTAGTAGAGCTCCGCATAACAATTAAAAGTTTTTATGGGAGAATTCAATTATAATTTAAAGTTCAAAGGACTAAAGATGCCGAAGCATTTGTATCGTTTAAATTCGGACTTGTATTGTCCATTTGGTGCACAATTAATTTGAAGTCGGATAAATATATATTTGGGAGCTATATCCAAATCCGAACCGATCTCGATAAAATTTACCAAAAATATTTCTAAGCTGTATTTGATATATTTCCCTGAATATCGTTGTTACGGAGAGCATATTACGGCTGTGGGTAACAAATATGACAAACCGGATGAACAGTATATATGGGAGCTATAGCTATATCTGAACCGATCTTCACCAAATTTGACATACTAGCTTCTAGACTCAATTCGGTCGTAAGTGCCAAATTCCATCCCATTTGGACAATTATTAGACGTTTGGTGAACAATAAAAGGTGAATCTGACGAAGTTATACATGGAAGCTATATGCAAATATGAACCGATCTCGATAAAATTTAGCAAAGGTATTTCCGAGTTGCATTTGATATATTTCCCCAAATATTGTTGTTACAGAATGCATATTACGGCTGCGGAGGACAAAAATAACAAATCGGCTGAACAATATATATGAGAGCTATAGCTATATCTGAACCGATTTCGATCAAATTTGGCATACTTATTTTCAGGCCTAATTTAGTTGTATGTGTAAAATTCCATACTATTCGGGCTGATATTACACGTTTGGTGCACAATAAAAGGCAAATCGGACGAAGATATATATGGGAGCTATATCTAAATTTTTACCGATTATCTCCAATTTCAATAGGGTTCGTCCTTGGACCAAGCAAATGATTTGTGCAAAATTTCATCTCAATCGGATAATAAATGCGACCTGCATTTTGTTCACAAGAATACATGGACAGACGGACTGACTGACATGCATAAATCGTCTCAGAAAGAGATTCTATGAAGATCCTCAAAAGTAACTATGGGTCTATCTCGCTTCCTTCTCCATGTTACAAACAAATGCACGAAGACATGATACTCTTACCCTTTATTAACAAATCTAAGATTTTTGTCCCGGGAAGAATAATCTTATTAACTCCACGTTAATAAGTCTTAAATCATTTTGTATTTTCAAAAAAAAAAAAAAAAAAAATCGCTGTTTTTGAATAAAATCAAAGTTGGGAAATTTTTTAGTATTTCAGAAAACATTTGAAAATAGTCCATATTTCGCGCGTTTTTTTTTTTTTTTTGGAAATATCCTTTAACGTTTTCGAAAAAAATCAATGTTCCTTTAAAAAAAAAATAAATAAATAAAAATATTAAATTATTAAATTAAATTAATAATAATCAGTGTTTGTAGGTCTAATAGTCCCTCCAAATTTATTCCTAACATCCACTATTTCAAGCTCTGTTCGCCATGCAGAAATTATTTTCGATAAGTCCTCAATTTAAGGTCTGATGCTCCTTCCCAAAATTTTCCTTACAAATCCTCAATAATTGCCAAAAGGGTACTTCAAAATATTTGTATTTTTTTTTTCAAAAAATCTTAGATATAATTATTTCCTTTTAATTTATTTAATTATTTTATTTATTTATTTATTATATATATATATTTTATAATTAGATATGTAAGTAATACATAAACACAAATATGTATATTCGTAGGTAGTTATATGGCATTCCAGTAGGGAATATTTTTTTTGTTATTTAATTTCGAAAATTTGCAACTCAAAATGACTCGTTCGTTCGCTCGTATGTAGATATATAAATTACGATGCTGCCCCTCTCGGGTTGGGGGGGGGGGGTTCACTTAAACTGAATAGGTTGGAAAATGTTCCGTTCTGTTGTCACGATTTCCCGTGCCACATAGCAGAGCAGGTGGCGTGCTACGGGCGGGCCCTGATAATTCCTTTGAATGTTTTGTTTTACTGGGCATTGTTGAGACGACGTCCTGATTCCAAAATTTCACCCGCCTAAATAGTCGCATATAAGCAATGCGATAATTTCGATTACTGGCAGCATAGATGATGGGATTTATGACACTCGAGGCCCAGGCCATTACCGAGGCCACAATGTGCAGCCAGGGGTAGGAGGTTTTGCGTTCATCATCGACCACATTTGCCAACATCAGGGGCAGAAAGCAGATTAGGAAGCACACAAATATCGTCATCATCATCAACGTTAGGCGACTGTCTTCCCGATCTTTTCGCGTATCACTTGCCAGATTTTCAGCATTGCTGGAATTTATCACAAACTGGCGATGACATTTCATTTTCCGTTTTTGTTGTAACACCTTGATGTAGATACAGCTGTAGGAGGCAATGATCACCAGGCATGGCAGTAGGAAACCCAGCAGGAATAGGGGTTTTTTAATCGAACGCCCATTTTTCTTGAGTATCGTACAGGAGAAGGTTACCTCGTCCAGACCCATTTCACCCCACACCCCCAGATAGGGTGGCAACAACAGCAAAAACGACACAAACCACACACAGGCCAATTGGACAATAATCCACTGGCGCCTATACAAACGTCCATAGATATTATGGCAACCGATCAGGATATATCGGTTGATGGTAATGCACACCATGCTTAGCAGCGACACGGCCACATTGCCATAGAAGATCACCGGAAAGATGCGACACAAATCATCGCCCAGCGTCCATTTCTGGGCGAAAAAACGAACCGCTGTCAGCGGCAAACTAAACGAACAGAAAAGCAGATCCGAAATACACAGGGACAGGACAAAGGCTGTTGTGGCATGGCCACGTATCTTGGGTGAGTTCACCAAGGCCAAAATCGTTATGAGATTGCCACAGACCCCAACAACGGTAAAAAAGCAAGCACACACTCCAGCAAATACAGTGGCAGCATCGGGATATATCGAAGTTTTTCCATCCATTGATTATCCTCCCCTCTCTCTTCTTTTGTTTTTTGGTTTCTTATTTTTATTCAGCTTGTCTTCGAAATTGTTTGCATATCCTATTCTTTTCCCGAAATTTTTATGTTTCAAGATCAATTCTAAGGAGAAAAAGTGAAATAAATTAGCTTGAGTGTTTTTGTTGTTGTTGTTTTAATTTGACATTTTCTTTGACACATTGACAGTTAGACAGCAATGTTAGAGATCGTTTGACAAATAATTATCATTGTTTGCTAAATGTCATTTCAATAGCAGGTTGCATAATTTCCGTATTTGAGTAACCTGTGCTAAATACTTACCAGGGTTGGGAGAGTGGAATTTACCAAAAGAGAGTTATAAATTATAAATTCCCTTCTCTTCATGGAAAAATCTCTGCAAGATCCTCTATATCCAGATAACCTCCCAAATGTATTATGTAGTTATAGGACATTTTTCTTTTATGAAAGGAAGAAGCTTTCCATAGAAGACCTTCAATGGATCTTCTCTCCAAGAGAAGACCTTAAAAGAGTCGTCTATGCCCAGAATAGCTTTAGAGTGTCTTCGCCTAGAGAAAACTTATTAAGAATTTTCTAGCCATATAAGACCTACAATGAGTCGAAGGCCTTAAAAACAGGCATAAAAATTATGAAAAGGTATTCCGTCAATACAAGTCCCTTAAAAAAGTTTCCGACCATAAAAGATCCTGAAAGGGTCTTTTGTGCACAGAAGTCCATCAAAATTTTCCTATCAAGAGATGATTCTTTGAAAGTCGTTTTGAATTTGGAAGATATCTTTAAGAAATCCACGTTTGTTGGTCTCTTCGTGTTGTAGGTTGTAGATAATTTTAGGAAATCTACGTCCAATTCTGGAATACCAAAGACCACGTTGGTGGGCAGGTTCGTCCTAAAGAAAATATATTTTGAAATCCATGTTTATGGTTCTCTTCGTCCTTTGGAAAAAGTATCCTTAGAGTTTTCGTTTTCTAATTCTTTCCGATCTTTGAAAAATATTCCGCAAAAAAATGCTTATGGTGTCTTATGGTTCTTCTATAAATAATTTCGAAAATTTTAAGTTTGAAGGTCTGATGGAACTTTAATTTTTTTTTTTAAATCGTGATTTATTTGCTAAGTTGAAATATGTTTTTATATATTGCCTGTTGAAGGTTGAAAAATATTTAAAAAAAAACAACTCTTGAAAGTCTAATGGCTTTAAAAATTCCATGCTTAAAGGTTTGATGGAACTTCAGACAATTATTTTCGTCAATACACGTTTAAAAATCTGATGATGATGAAAATTCAAAGAAAATGTTTTTTAATCCATGTTCGAAGGTCCACTATTTTAAATAATGCATATTCGGAGCTGTAAGTCCCAGACCTTCGATGGCACTTCTAAAAAAGATAGAACTTCAGAAAAAATATTTTTAAAAATTAATTGATAAAAATGTTCGAAAACTGAATATTCGATGATGTCCCTTCTAAAAAAAACTTCAAAAAATCACGTTTGAAAGACTGATGGTCCTTCTGAAACATTCTCGAAAAAATCCGTTTTAAAAGTCTGATGGTTCTTTGAAAACACTTTCGAAGAGTCGCGTCTGAAGGTCTGATGGTATTTTAAAGAAATACTTTTTAAAAATCAATGCTTTAAGGTCTGATGGAACATTAGAAAAATGTTTATACAACTCCATATAACATGTTTGAAGGTTTGGTAGAGCTTAAGAAAAATATAAAAAAAAAAAAAAGATTTCGAAGTTTCCGCTTGAAGTTTTGATGGAACTTATGAAAAAAATTTTAAAAAGACCCCGTTTAACGTTTGAAAGTTTGATGGAACTTCAGAAATATATAAAAATTTAATGTTTGAAGGTTTGATGTAACATCAGAAAAATACTAAAAAAAATCCACGTTTCATGTTTGAAGGTTTGATGGAACTTAGGAAAAATATTTTTAGAAATCCACATTAAACGCTTGCAGTTATGAAGGCCTTTCAGATAAATATTTTTTTGTAAAAATCAATGTTTAATGTTCGAAGGTTTGATGGAAATTCAGAAAAATGTTTTTTTTTTTTAAATCCACGTTTAATGTGGACTTTACCTCAGAAGTATATTTTTAATAATCCAAGTTTAATGTTGAAATGTTTGATGGAACTTCAGAAAATAATTTTTAAATCTATACGTTTAATGTTTGAAGGTTTGATGGAACTTCAGAAAATAATTTTTAAATCTTCACGTTTAATGTTTGAAGGTTTGATGGAACTTCAGAAAAATATTTGTAAAAATTCACGTTAAAATTTGAAGGTTTGATGGGACTTAAGTTTGAAGGTCTGATGGAACCACAGAAAAAGAAACATTTAAGGTTTAATGAAACTTCAATAAAATATTTTTGTTAAATATCCACATTTAAAGTTTAATGAAACTTCAGAAAATATTCTTAAAAATCCACGTTTAATGCTTAAAGGTTTGATGGAACTTCAGAAAAGTATTTCTATAAACTCACATTTAAAGTTCGAAGATTTGATAGAACTTCAAAAAATATTTTTTAAAAATCCACATTTAATGTTTCAAGGTTTGATGGGACTTCAGAAAAATATTTGTACAAATACCTGATTTAAAGTTTAAGGTTTGATGGAACTTCAGAAAAGTTTTTTTTTTTTTTTAAATACACGTTTAATGTTTGAAGGTTTGATGGAACTAGAGAAAAGTATTTTTAAAACTCCGTGTTTAAAATTTGAAGGTTTGATAGAGCTTTAGAAAAATATTTAAAAAAAATCACGTTTAAAATTTTAAGGTTTGATGGAACTTCAGAAAAATATTTTTAAAAATCGATGTTTTAAGTTTGAAAGTTTGGTGGAACTTCAGAAAAATATTTTTAAAAATCCACGTTTTAAGTTTGAAAGTTTGGTGGAACTTCAATTTTTTTTAAAAAATCCTAAAGTTTGAAGGTTTAATGGAACTTAAAAATATTTTTTAAAAACACACGTTTAAAATATGAAGGTTTGATGAAACTTCCAAAAGAAATTAAAATTAAAAAAAAAGTTTGAAGATTTGATAGAACTTCAAAAAATATTTTTTAAAAATCCCCATTTAATGTTTTAAGGTTTGATGCAACTTCAGATATGTATTCTCAAAGTTCCACGTTTAAATTTTGAAGGTTTGTTGGAAATTTAGAACAAATACTTAAAAAATCCACGTTCAAAGTTTGAAGGTTTGTTGTAACTTAAGTTTGAAGTTTTGATGGAACCACAGGAGAATATTTTTTAAAAATCCACATTTAATGTTTGAAGGTTTGACGGAACTTCAGAAAATATTTTTTAAAAATACACATTCGATGTTTGAAGGTTTGATGGAACCACAGGAAAATATTTTTAAAAATCCACGTTTTAAGTTTGAAAGTTTGGTGGAACTTCAATTTTTTTTTGTAATCCTAAAGTTTGAAGCTTTAATGGAATATTTTCTAGAAACGCACGTTTAAAATATGAAAGTTTGATGGAACTTAAAAAAAAAATTAAAACTCCGTGTGCAAAGTTTGAAGGTTTGATGGATCATTAGAGAAATTTTATTTTAAAATCCACGCAAATTTAAAGAGAAATATTTTTTCAAAATCCAAGTCTGAAGTTTTTAATATTTGAAGGTTTGATGGTACTTCAGAAACATTTTTTAAAAATCCACGTTTAGTATTTAACGGTTTGATGGAACTTCAGAAATATGTTCTCAAAGTTCTACGTTTAAAGTTTGAAGGTTTGATGGAACTTGAGACAAAATTTTTAAAAAAATCCACGTTCAAAGTTTGAAGGTTTGTTGTAACTTAAGTTGGAAGTTTTGATGAAATCACAGGAAAATATATTTTTTTAAATTCAAGGTTTGATGGAACTTCAGAAAAATTCTTTTAAAAATCCACGTTTTATGTTTGAAGGTTTGATGGAACTTCAATTTTTTTTTTTCAAAAAATTCTAAAGTTTGAAGCTTTAATGGAACTTAAAAGCATTTTTTAGAAACGCGCAGTTTGATGGAACTTCAAAAAAAAAAATAATCTTCATGTTCAAAGTTAGAAGGTTTGATGGATCATTAGAGAAATTTTATTTTAAAATCTACAGGAATTAGAAGAGATGTATTTTTTTCAAAATCCAAGTCTGAAGTTCCGTATTTGGAGGTCTTATGATCTCAGAAAATTAATTGAAAAATTCTAGACTGAAGGTTTGATTGCCCTTAAAATACGTGTTCAAACATTCAATGTTAAAGGTTTCAGGGAACTTAAAAACATTTTTAAAAACCCACGTTTAAAGTATGAATGTTTGATGGAAAAAAATTAAAACATCAAACATTATTTAAAAATCCACGAAAATTTGAAGAGAAATATTTTTTCAAAATCCATGTCTGAAGTTCCGTATATGGAGGTCTTATGATCTCAGAAAATTAATTAAAAAATTCTAGATTGAAGGTTTGATTGCCCTTAAAAAAGTGTTCTAACATTCAATGTTCGAAGGCCTGGCAGAAAAAATTCCAAATCCTAACGTTTGAAGGTCTAATGGCAATTACTAAATATACTCAGAAAAATCACCGATGTAATTTTTTCAAAAAAAAAAAAAAAAAAATTATAAAACTCATGTTTGATGGTCTGATGACCCTTCAGAAAAACATTCTCAAAATATCCAAGTTTGAAGGTCGGATGACCCTTCAGAAAAATATTAATAAAACACCTGTTTGAAGGTCATACGGCGCCTTACAAAATTTTTTTGAATTTTCGTTTGAAGGTTGCATGGTCCTTTAGAAAAATATTTTCAAAAAAATCTATTTATGTTGGCCCTTAAAAAAAGAATTTCAAAAAAGTCAACAATCATTGATTATTGAAAATATATTCTTGAAAAATGCCTGCATAATGCCCGTACCGCATTTTCATAATTTTTGTTTCATTTTTGTTAATTCCACACTCCCATCTCTGACTCCAGATCACATCACGTACAGTGTTTGTCGCTTGACTTGCAAGTAACCTTTACTCAATAACCGTATACTAGGTCAGGGACAGAAAATTTGTGGCTAACTATACACGATATGAAATGTCAACAAAGCGAGGGAGAGACGAAAAAATAGATCATAAGAAACCAAAAAAAAAAAAAATGGAAGTGAACGAGA